CTCAATCAGGAAGAATGAGCAAGGAATAACAAAGTTCTGTCAGTTGTTTAAAGTGATGCTTGCATTCCATAATTTTATCAAACGAATTCGTTCTCACTCGCTGCCTGCCGTAGCAACAAACGGAATTAGGGACTTTTAGATTTGCGTGGACTGATACGTGTGACGTCCATTCACGGCAGTGCATTAACAGGACGTCGATCGTAGCATAGACCTATTGTCTTCGTGCGAATCTAAAAGTCCCTAATGACAAAAGACTTAACTCCGTTTCGTTGACGATCAGCCATAGACGAAAGACTTCATACATGGCTGATTTTCAACGAAACGAAGGTTAAGTCTTTCGTCAATTCTGCTTGTTCCTACGGCAGGCGGCCAGTGAAACCGAACTTTTAAAATCAAAGCTTCACTTTAAACAAACAGAACTTTGTTATTCCTCGCTCATTTTTCCTGATCGAGATGTCATTTGAAAGGGCGAAAACTGAACGTTCTAGAAATGTGATTCTCCTCTTGAAATTCAGAGCTGATGTGATGAGATAACCACCCGTCAGTGACCATGCAGGGAAAGGGAGGTCTAATCCCTCCGGGCCAAACTAGTGCAGTGGGGCTTTAATATTTGTTTGTAAACTTCTCATGTCCAAATCATTGTGGGCCAGTCTTATTAGTTATCAGGTCATTTGAATTATATTCTTTAGAATGCCCTTCGATGCATCAGTTTTGTTTTCTTGTGTGAATATTCTTGAATTTCATCAGTATGTATCACGTCATTTCCCTTTTCAGAAAATTCACTTTAAAAATGTTGTTGTATACTCACTTCGTTTTATGTAGGCATAGTACCATGATCCAATTCATTTATTTATTTATTAATTAATTCAAATCATTGATTTTGAATTTCCATATTGCAAACCAGTCAACATTTCATTCTTGAGTTACGAAAGACAAACATGAAATTTACAAGGGGTATGAATAATTGAGTTGTTAACTTTGTACCTATTTGAAGAAGAAAAAGCCGGAGATAACAGAAAGCACAAACATTGAAGTAAATGTAAAATATTTGACTTTATTTTACTATGAAAATGATTTGATTTACATATACATTATATGAAGATTTCTGACACTTCGTCTCAATAATACATTATCACTAACGATTTTATTTTTACTGCTCTTTAGTCGTACAACATAGACGTATTAAAACTTATTCAACTGGTCTTAACAAACTCTTCAATCAAATGTGAGTTCATTTCCTGCATTCCATTCAGCATTTAAAAGGGCAAATACGTATTGTAGCAAAATAATACTGACGTATATGTAAAATCACAATATAAAGTGATTTATAGCATTAATTTCCATGATGTGTCAAAGTCAGTTGGTTTAGCTAGGCACTCGACTTGAAATGCAACTTTGATGGATTTGATCCCTGACACGGCACTAATGTCCTATAGCAAGGCATAAATCTACATTTGCCACTACATACCCAGGAGAGAAACGGGGACCTGGTAGGATGACAAAAGCCTTTGTGTTAGAAATTGCCATATGCCCTTACTCCCCAGGAAGAGGAGATGGTGCATATTGTGCGTGAATGAATCCGATGACAATGGTGATGATATCTCTAAATCGCTAAGAGAGGGTATTTCATATTTTTTAAGTACTATATAAATCCTGATTTTTATTATTATCATCATGACTTAGCCCCAAATGGTAACTTTCGTGTCTACATCTTTGGAGACTATTACTAACCATGCTTGTCTGCGGTATGGAAGGTCTGCCTTTGTTTTGTATGGGTTTACATGGTTTCTTGATATCCTGCAGGATGTACGAAAAAATGAATCCCTGAAATTCACCAAAATGAAAATGTGTTTGGTACATGCAGATGAATGATCTTATTTGTGTCACAGTATAATGATTACTTGGATTTTTTTATAGATATCTCCGTCACTTGTAGAACACAGTACCTAAACATGATCTTTCACCTTAAGTCATATGCGTGTAAAACTGAAGAACAAAATACAGTTCGTAATACCTCAGTGTGTATCAGTTTGAACTGCACAGTAATGTATCAAGACATATTACCTATAATAAACACGACTGAGTGACTTTGATATAAAAATACAACTTGAAAACAAATACATGTATTAAGTTCGCATCTTCTTCTGCATAATGAGTTGTATATTGATTGCAATACAAAAAAAAAAACACCTTCACAGTAATTGTTAAATTGGTTTAGGCTTTAACAAACATTAGATTTTCACAGAATCGAATCAAATCAAAGTAAATTATAAACCAATTAGATGACATCTGGCCAAGAAAATGGAATATATTACTAAGGAGAACAAGCAATGAAAATGAGGGTATGTCAGAAATACATGTTAGAGGACACTATTGAATAGACAGCATCTTTATCTTTTAGATTGAAAATGTATCATTCCATTTACTAATCTGGAACATTTAACTCTTATCCTGCCATAATGTGCCAAGCTACAAATCCCCCCCTGTGCCAAGTTCATTTTGAGATAATCTGATCTGATGGTGCTATCAATAGCATGTGCAAAGCACTCAGCACAGTTCAATGAGCATGAACAATAATTGCTATAACGAACGCGAGCATGCATGCATAAAGCAGCTAAGCTGTGGCTTGCTCGCGTGAATTAAGCAGCCCATCGATAGCATGCTCGCGTGTACAAAGCACTATAACGGTAGCGTGCATGCGGCCTTATGGCAGATATGAGTTAATATGTAAATGCTTTCTAATGACTAAAGCCCCGTTTAGGTGAAGCAACAATTCGTCGCTGTTTTCACGAAGTGACGGTAGTGAAAAAAAATTGCATTCACTTTGCGTTACGATTTTCCTCACTACCGTCACTTCGTGAAAACAAGGACGAATTATTTGATGATGGCGTAAAAGTATGATACACTATACATCAATAAATACATGGAAGGACCTTAGTTGCACGCAGTTGCCATTCGTTTACACATTAACATGAACACACAGCTTATTTTTGTTGACCGTTTACCGTGTCATATCTAAACAAGTTTTTAGTGATGAAAATATTGAAATACAAGGATTGCCAATATGGACATAAATATATATCACATACAATATGATGATGGAAACTTTTTAAGTCATCAATTTGGGGCGAAGAGGTTTCGCTAACTCATCTCACTAATGTTATAAACAATCTATTCATGTTATTATTTTAATACATGTATTACATTCTCATTCAAGGATGTTACTTTGCGATATCAGCACAGTTGTTAATTCTTTAACATTATTCATTAAAAGATTACATACACCCTTCATAGGCGCATTTAAAGATATATCTCAAACACCATTTTGAAAAATCTTCGATTTTTGGGACTGCCTTTTACACTACAGGAAAAACCCATAAAAAAAAACGTTGATTTTCTCATACTGATCTTTTGGTGCACAAAAAAAAAACAATAATAACAATATGGTTATTTATATAGCGCCGGTATCCATTAGGTTCTGACACTCATGGCGCTTTACACATATTACCCTGGTCGTAGCCGGGCTGCCAAAGTAACTAGCGCTCAAGCATATCAGGTACCCATTTACACCTGGGTGGAGAGTGGCAAATGCGCGACTTGTTGCTACTATGCGTGCAATATCGCACAGAAATAAGAAGAGTCACATGACGGAAAACCAGCATCTTATCAAATTTTTGATTCACACTGCAAAAATCTGTGAAATTTTGGCAGGAGTTTAAAAAAACACATTTCAGAGGTGGATTTTTTAATTGTTTTTTTTTGGTAGCTTTTGACAACGGGACATTGTGATGTAAGAAAAATTGAGGATTTCTGCTTGCTGTGTAAATGCAGCTTTTGAGAACAAAATACGTACCCCACTAAGAAAGCCATCAACCTTATAGAAAAGGCTAAATAAGAAAAAACATGTGGCTACCTCTTTCTCCAGATTTCCTTTTTCAGTAATCCTTTTATACCACAGTCCCACGTCATAGATGTCACTCATTAAAAGTCATTTAAATACTCAACATGGTCAGGATTCTATTAAAGTACATACAGAGGAATGTATGAGAAGCAAAAGTACACCAAGATGGTCAATTTTTATCCTCAGATACAGAAGCAAGCATAGCATGTGAGCTTGCGTATGATCAAAAACAAGGCTGCTTGCTTTTAACATACATGCGCTCAAAAGCTTACAAAATCTTACTACACTGTAAAGGTACTGCATAGTTACAAGCACATGTCTGACTTTTACTCTGAATGCATTGGTTTTCTGATTAGAGTCATGTGGTTATTCTAAAACTAAATGGTACCTGGGGGTGTTTCACAAAGACTAAGATCGACTTTAAGATGGACTTAAAGATAAACTTGAGTACTGGTAATGCGATTGCATTGTGAAAGAAAAGGTGTGGAATGGATCAGAAAAGTTTATCATATAGCATGTAAGTAATGGTGTGTAATGAAAGGTTCTAGAGTCATCAAAATCATCATAAATTTGGCAGAGTCTTGGTAAAGTAACAATCACTTACACAGATAGATGTATATGGGACAACACACATGGTGTCGGGGCTAGTACTACCCTGATTTCCTTATCTTTCTATGATCATTACTCAGCCAGTATACATTTTCTTCCAAAATTGTTTGGCACATGATATTTATTTGTAATCTTGAACATTCAGTGTAAGTTTCGTTAGATTCTGTGAGAATTCATTTTCTTTTTTTTACCAGAACTCAAGTTTATCTTTAACTATGGCAGGCCGTTCATGCCACTAGTTCCTCTAACCATTCATGGCATTGGTTGCTCAAGGGGACGTACAAATCGTGGTTGCAAATCTTAATTGTGAAAGCAACCAGTGGAATGAATGGCCTGCCATAGTAAAGTCAAACTTAAAGTCAATCTTAGTCTCTGTGAAACACCCCCCCCCCCCACCCCCATCATAATGGTAGATCATGCAATGTAAAGTTTAAATATGAAGTAGGTCCATTGCCCAACTGGCTCTACATGTTTAATTTGTTAATTTTCATTTTGTGATTTAACAACGATACCTCTGATTAGTCATGCCTGCAATGGCTGATTTTGCACATTCTGTTTCATATGTTTCGTCATGGTTATCTGGTATACATAAATAAGCTAAGAACCAACTGTCCCACTTTTAGGTTGTGACAAGATTTTACTGTCCTTTTAATTTGGCAATGAGGGCGGCATTTTCCTGCTTCATCTGTTTATAGTCGTTGGTGATCTTCTCAAGATTGGTGACAGTTTTCTTACTGCTCTCCGTGTCGATCTGAAGCACAAGAAAAGAAAGACATTGGTTTAAAGATACTATGTCCCTTCTGCAGCCAACATCAAATTCTGTAGAACTTTGCAGGAATTATGAATATGTATTGTATGTCCTATCTGTGAAATTTAAACCTTAGCAGTGTCCTAATATTCAAATTATGCAAGGAAACCTGTTTACTTGCTAGACTTCACTGTCAGACACTATTGAGTGACTGACTGGCTTTTTTCTTCTTTGGTAATAACGTACGGTACATAAAATGAGCTGTAAAGGGTATTGAGCATTTGTCTACATCAATAACCCACTTCTTGTAATGGCCAAAATTAAACTGATTGAATCTTTGTGCAGCACAAAACGTACAACCATTCGGTACAATAGTCTGAAAATCAGACTATTACTTACTGACTTGGTAGTCACTTAAGTCGATTTGACAACTAATAGTCGTTATTTTCCCACTTAAAGACATTTTCAACCCCCTTTTTTTAGGGAAGTTCTAAATTAGAATTAACTTTCATATGCCGTTGGATTTAACCTTTTCATTTCTTTGGCCTGCATAGTACCTTTAACACACCGTTTATCAACCTCTTTATTTTATTGACAAAACCCTTTTCGTGATTAAAAAGCTTCGCACTATCCCAATCTCAAATTCATCCCAGAAGATTTATTTTCCAACACTCTTACATGTGCGTATGTACACCTCTTGCACAAATATAATCCAGTTTCTCAATTTTGCGAGAAAGCAAAGCGAGCAAGCAAAAATATGACAAGCTTGTTAACATTACATCAAGTAGTATACCTAAATGTCACTCTTCTGTTTACTAAAATTGTATTTAAATTTGGAATATTTCTTTATAGAAGTCACATTTCAAGATTATTTAAATAGAGCATAGTGACATTGAACCCCTAACAAATGGAACAATATACATTTTAAAAATGCAATAACAATTTGCGATGTCTTATAGTTTAGAAGTCATATTTCAAGACAATTTTAACAGAGCATAGCAACATGTCACTCTTAACATAAATAGAAAAAGCATTTTTTTTTTTCTTTAATTCTCAACATACCTGGTCTTCTAATTCTCTAATCTCTCTCAGGATGGTGCCGGTTTCTTCCAAGGTTTTGATTAATTGGTCAAAATTCTAGGAAATAAAAAAGAAATGAAAACAAGTGAATAGAAATTATACTTTACTGAGGTACATATATATGTTTTTAAGGGAAAATATAAACTTGCTGCCTTGGCTCTTTGTAGGAAGCTGATCTATAAAAGAGAAAAGAATAAACCCCTCAGGAACCAGCAAACATCAGCTTTCTATTCTCGAATACAATCAGTAATCATTTGCATTTGTATCAAAATATATTTACTAGTTATCTAAACTTAAGTGCCTTTAATCTGCAGTTACTGAACTATACCGTAGCCCTCCCAGGCCCTCAGCTTCTCTCTCACGCATTCACTCTCGCTACTCTCATTCCTACTTTCAAAATCTTGAGGTTGTCTATCCATCCAGCAGGACATCTACCATCTCAACACTTTCCTTTAACTTTTCCTTTGATGGTTGCTAGTACAACAATCTTCTCTCTTCTTTTCCTGTGCCCATACTATGCGATCTTCCTTTTCTTGACATGTGCCACCATTCCTTCTTTGTTTGATACCATAACTCTGTCCCTAACCCATTCATTTGTTCATATTAGGATAAGAAAATGATTAAAATGATAAGATTTCTGTTTAGAGGAGCAGACTGACTAAAAGTAATAATGGCACATGTTCTATCATCATCATTTAAATCACAATACTGGTACCAAACCTAAGGACACTGATTTTCCGCGATCTCGGAAAACGGACGGAATTCACGTAAATGACCATTTGAAATGGAAAATGCAATTTCGAACGGAAAGTTGCGGAAAACCCCTTTCACCTCAAAACTTTTCATTTTTCATGAAGAAAATCGTTGTGATTTGTTATGCAGTGAAAAAATATCGGGCCTAAAATCATGGTTAATAACTCTGAATATTTAGCGATATTCGTCAGATTCTTAGGAGACAGGGCGCTGCCATTTTGTTTCGCTGGACCGATAGAGATCGTGACACAAAACACGGTACAAATAGCAGCGAATCGATCCTATTGTGCCAGCTAGGTGCCTAGTATTACGTATAAGTAATACTAGGCACACACACGCCAGCAGCGGGCGCTAAGTGCGGCGAGATTGTACACACGCTGTTGTACAGATCAGAAAAGGGGATGGCATTTGCGCCTAAAATAGATCGATCGCTGACATGACAGCCAAGACTGAAATGTTTTCGTCGTCGTCGGTACTACTCGGCCTGTATCTGAATCAGTATCGTTCCGTCAGGAATATGTCGTGTTCTGACACATTCCGCTAACTTTAGTCTGCTTGTCTAAGTTCGAATTTGAAGTTGGTAAATCTAAACATTTGATAATTTTTCGTATATTTTCACTAGTATTTTACATCAAGTTTATCCAGTCCCGTCCGTTTGTTTTTGAGTGGTTATCAGTGGCAAAACGGAATTTCACAGAATTCCAGATTTTCTGAAACGGAAAAAGCAATTTTTTAAAACCGAAAATCAGTGTCCCTACAAACCAGTCTTACCTCATGCAATGCAGCAAGGTATTTGTATGCCTTTCTCACTGCCTCATCCTTCTTTGCATCCTGAAAAAAAGGGAAACAAAATAGTCAAAACGATTACATTTTAGATATTTCAGATTTTTGCCTGCATATTGTCTCATTAAAAAAATTAAAGCTTTTATATCATCAGGACTAATAAATTCACTACTTAACTCGTTTTTGACCAAAGTTACATTTTGCCTAAATCAGGTCGTTTCTATGGGAGCATCTTGGTGTTTATGGCCTTAGGGTGATTTTCAATCTTAAACTCTGTTTATTAATCAAAATATGAAGCTCCTAAATTAAGTGAAACAGAAACAAAACTGAATACTTTTTGTAATTTTTTTTAGAAGTAGTAAAATGATTTAGAAATTATTTCATCAACGTGATGATATTATATTCATCCAATTTGTTGAAACTTTATTAAAACTTCACAGATGTCCTTCCATTTTTTTCTATTCACACTCAAAGAGGTAAGTTTCAAACAAAGTGGTTCTATTTCGTGTGTTAAGCTAAACAATATCTTTGGATATTTGCAACACAGACTTTGAAAATGCAGAGAAAGGCTTCACTTTTTCTTGGTTGTCTTTAAAGGGATTGGGTATCTTTGTCTCAGATTCTAAACAAATTCCTAGATTTAGCTCATGCTCATAATTATAAACCTTTAGGTCTGTCAGGAATCCCATGACCTTTATAAGCCGATCGCCCGTCTGATTATCAAGATATTTACGATTGGCATTCAAAATTTCATTTTTCGTTTTCCTTACGGTTTTTATAACACTACACTATTGGGGAAAATGAGTATGGTAAAACCTGTCACTCAAAGATTTGTACTTTTTGAGGCACTTCATGATAATTTTGAAGCGCAATTTTTTTAGGGCGTCAATATTACACCATATCACAGAAGCTGATAACACTTAGGGCCATGCATCTCAGATTTGGCATTGTTTAACAATGCCTTTTGAAAAATATTTGTAAAAAGAGAGATTCAAATTTAACTTACCCTAAAAATGAGTTCATCTGTGACAGTGAAGGTCCGATCTAGTTTACCCGATACCTGATTGATTTCTTTCTGGAGTGTTCTTGTATCACCGAGTACCTGTAAAGAAAGATGAATTGCAGCATTTTAGAACTTGTAACTACGAGATCTTACATTGCTCAGGAAAGCACAGGTTGTATACTGTAAAAAGGGACCATCGCTGGTTTACAAATGCCTGAAATTAAAAACCGAACAGTTTTGTAGCTTGACAAATATCTACAATTTCTACAGATCATCAAATTATTAAAAGATCAAGGACTTCAAGGTTTTGAGCAGTAGCTTTTAACACAAATCATGGCCTGGTATGCCTCACTAACTTCTTTCCTTTAATACACTGCTACACATATTACTCTCGGGGAAACACACAGACATCACAAATCTTTTGGAAAAGTATACTTTCTATGCAATAAAAAAATGACAAAGAAAAAGAGGATCCCTAGATTAAACTTGTATATAAAGACCGCTCAAAGGAGACAATAAAAGTGATCTTAATAGGCAGGTGCCAGGTGGTCTTTATGTACATGTTCCTTTAGGTCATGTTTCAATGAGAAACAAATGCGAAACAAAAATTGTGGTCATTATAGATAGGTGGTCTTTCTATACAGGTGGTTACTAATTGATGCTAAAGCAAGTTTGACTGTAAAATGTCCTTTGTTAGCTCATACCTTATTAATGTCTTCTTTCTGCTTACGAATATTGGCAACAATTTCGAGGATTCTCCTGGTGTAGGCCGATCTATTCACATCCTTAGCCATTCTCTCATACTCGGCAACCTTGAACAAAATGAAAGCAATTTAAGTGTACTGGGGAGTGTTTCACAAAGATTCTAAGTTGAACTTATAGATCTCTAAGTTGGACTTAAACATTATGGAGAGCCATTCGTAGCCTTAAAATAAAATATATTCAAGAGCGAAAATTCAAGTATTTTAGACTTTTTTTTATAAGTTCCACATCAAGAACTTAAAATTTCTTGATAATAGAAAATACAGGGGTGTATGAATGATTTGAATCAACATTTGATACCTTTTGAAATAACTTATACCATATATTTTCAGAGATGCTAACGGCTTTCCATAATTGTTAAGTCCAACTTAGAGAAAAGTTCAACTTAGGATCTTTGTGAAACAGCCCCCAGATCTCTTAAAAAATCATTTGTGTACAGCTAGAATGTATAAAGTCAACCTAAAAAAAAACTTGACCCGGCATTCTATGGGCTAAGTCGGACTTAGCCCATATAATGCCGGACTTGGGTTCTGTGCAAGCCCTATACCAGGCAAGTGTGTACTACAAGTAGTATTAAAATTATCTTTGTTGATTGCAGCATGTTCCAGAGAACGTTTTAAGAAATGCTTGATCCAATTCAATTCAATTATATTTTGACAAATACAAATGCCTTTGATTCCTCTTATCACAAGAGTGTGAGGTTGAGGTTGTAAAGTGGAGTGACTAATAAATATACATTCTTAAAAAATGTGTATAAATATTTGTTTTCACAAGAGGGTCTTGACAAAAGCAACTATAATCAATTATTCATCATGAAATTCCAATAAGATTGTAACAAAATATTTCATTCTGCAAATAAACAATTTACAGAATTTGACAAATCATAGAAACATTTTAAACATATGCAATACACATATTAAACATGAATGATGGATAACTATTAAAGCAAACATCCATTCTTTTGCAACAAAAAACATTCAATATTTTACTCACAAGTTGTTTGAGCATGTCCTCTTTACTCCTAGTTTCCTCTGCAACTTTCTTCATCTTTTCTCTCAAAGCTTGGATGTCTTCTAATCTCTTCTCAGATTCAGACTGTCAAATAATCAATGTTAGCACAACAAAAATCTTGTAATGCATGTAGTAACCCATTGCAAATTGGAACAAGCTCGTGTTTCTTGTAGGTGTATTGAGCCTTCAGGAAGGTAGAGAATTCAGCAGTCAGCAGATTAATAAAAATAAATAATAATAACCCGTTCTGGTATAGCACATATCACATTAGTACGTAACTTCCCTTGGCGCTTCCAAAGAAGAACGGATATTATTACCCTGGTTTTTAGCTCTGGCAGCTACAATCAGCCATTCTCAGATTAAACATACTTCGGTGTATTTATGCAGGGCCATCAGGAAGAACAGTATTGATACAAATATTAAAAAATGAGGATTTCAAGAACGTATGTCTGCTGGCAGTGCATCAGGTGAGTGTTTCACAAAGACTAAGATCGACTTTAAGTTGGACTTAACTATGGCAGGCCATTCATGCCACTGTTTGCTTTCACCATTATGATCATTAGCTAACGTTTTTTCCCTCAATATTGAACAATAATGAACTATCAAAAAATGAAAATTCTGTAGATTTGTGACCATGAATTGTACGTCCCTTGAGAGACCAATGCCGGTAAATGGTGAGAGAAAACAGTGGCTTGAGCAGCCTGCCATAGTTAAGTCCAAATTAAAGTCAATCTTAGTCTTTGTGAAACACTCCCCTGTAGGTACCCTTTTGCCTCGAACACAATAAGTAGGTGTCTTCTTCTTATCGAGTCACTACACAAGCCCAAATTAAAGTCAATCTTAGTCTTTGTGAAACACTCCCCTGTAGGTACCCTTTTGCCTCGAACACAATAAGTAGGTGTCTTCTTCTTATCGAGTCACTACACAAGCCCGGCCCAATGGAGGATGAAGGATCTGGGGGGCGTTTCACAAAACCTTGTCATCACTGACAAATGACAATTTTCTTTTAAAAGCTAGTGAAATTCTTGCTTCTGATTGGTTATCAGCAGATTTGTCACTGATTTTTGTCATTTGTCATTGAAAACAGGCTATGTGAAACGTGCCCCGGGCCTTGACGCTAAAACCCTCTAGGTTTTTGAGGTACGGGGTTCCGGGAGGAGGGAGGGGGCAGACCTAAAGGTGTTTCATCATCTGTTCCTCCCCACTATCACACGTATGCGGACATGCCTTTAAAGCCCATCCGCACTAGTTTGGCCAGGAGGGATTAGACCGCCCAGGGTGGTCACTGACAGGTGGCTATCTCATCAACTCAGCTCTCAATAAACATAAGAAAAAGAGGATCATGAGGACCAATTGTAACTGATTAGGCATTGTTTGCTATATAGAGGGCGCAAGTAGCTTTAAGTAGTGCAGTGGGGCTTTAAAAACCCCAGCTTGGATCTCACCTCCTTGTTTGAGACCTCATCCTTGGTCTTCCTGTATTCCTCTATGAGCGGACCTCTGTGTTCTTCCCACTGGGTGGCTAAGCTCACAAGCTGCTGCGCACTCTTCTCCACAACGCCCTACAAGAAAGAAAAAAAAAGGATTACTCAATAAGAATTTATATTTTTCTTGATAAATGAACATGGGGCCCGTTGCTCGAAACCGTCATAAGTGCTCACATCATTCAAGGAATTCTTTCCCAACAGTACCCATATAACACCTGGGTGGAGAGTGGCAAATGAAGATTTAACACATTTAAAACAGAAAAAACGGCTTTATTGTTATGATTGAAACTCATCAATTGTTTTTAAAATAGAGCATTGAAGGTAATCTTGAAATCGTCTGTTTGGAGTCAAAAAGGCGTCAACTCATATACATTAACACAGAGTTCATGCCCTTCTGACTCTGAACAGACAAAATGTACCATCCATGGGCCCGCTCCTCGATAAGTCTAACTTCTTGACTATCCCATTGAAACGTGTATTACAATTGACACGCATTTCAATGGGATAGTCAAGAAGTTAGACTTATGAGGGTATCGAGGAGCGGGCCCATGGATGGTACATTTTGTCTGTTCAGAGTCAGAAGGGCGTTAACTCTGTGTTAATGTACAGGAGTTGACGCCTTTTTTACTCCAAACAGACGATTTCAAGATTACCTTCAATGCTTTATTTTTTAAACAATTAGTGAGTTTCAATCATAACAATTAAGACTTTTTCCCGTTTTAAATGTGTTAATAAAATGCATTATGGGTTGTTCATTGGTAATGTGGAGATGTCGTGGTATAGTGGTTCATTTAATTGGCTTTCAATCAAAGGGGTTGAGGGTGCAAAGCCCAGCTTGGCACTCGCATCTTTTGGCAAGATATTAAAGGTATAGTTGAGTATTGGTAATTTCCAAAGTGCCCCTCCAAAACAGATTTGGTTTATTTCAGTACCATATGAAAGATCATCGAAAAAAACATGGGAGATGATAATAATTCCAAATCAAATGCTCTAATTGTTGTGCAATTTGCTTTCAAAACATTATATAAAAGTGTTTGACGTCCGGACATCACTTTTGACTTTCGACGGTTTATTTTTTGAATTTACGTGTTTAGCTCCCTCTATGTCATTTAACAACCAGCGTATTTACAACGAGTGTTTGAGTTCGTTGGTACGTACAGTACTACAGGTAGCTAGCAGGCGGGTATCCGACCGCGCGCTAGTAATACATACAGTACAGCTGATCAATTCCAATACGCTGCTTTCACGTATTAAGTATAACACACACAGCTAGCTCATATCAGATTATCACCGGCGCCGATCGAACGCTAGACAGCTACAGACAAGCTTTGATTGAAATACGATAACGAGATCGAGATTGGAAAAGGAGCTCGAGGTCACGGACGATGGCCGACTCGGACTCAGCTAGTGCTAAGCCTAAGGACAAGGCTAAGGCTACGCTAAATCGGAATAAGACTAAGTAAGACGGTAAGAGGAAGGAGAGAAACAAGCAATGGCAGCTCGACCATCCGGCCCAGAGGAGGCGCGGGAGTGGCTGTGAACAAGGCCAGGGTACGGCGGAGAAACTTCGCGAGCTGCAGGCGGCCTTCTCGTTGCCGAGTCTAGAGGATGCAATAGACATGCCAGCTCACTGAGAGGTAAGTTGAAATGATATACGCCCCACTGCATTGGGTAGGCCTACCGTTTTAATTTGATCTAGTCTAGAGACTAGATGCATGGAATCGGCAAATTTAAGAAATTACGTTTTGTTATCTCTTGCCTTGGATTTTTAATTCAGATTTCATGAATCATATGATATTGATAGTCTAGCCTAGGTCTACAGTAGACCGAAAGCTTCAGTCTCTATATTGTCGGTTGTTCCACTGAGACTACGTCTGGCTCCACTAGACCTCCGGATGAATTTGGTTCAAATGAAAATATTGGAAGCATAGGTCTATGTGATCCTACAATATTCAGTGAACGTTGTCGCGTTGAAATCGAGTCTAAAGTGATGAAATTGTAAATAATAATCTCTTAATATGGGGTATACTATAACTCTCTCTCAAGGTCAATATATTAATTCAGCTATACAACAAGCTACAATTGACCGATTGGCTATTACCTTTTTGAAATTATATATCACAACTACATATTCCGGGATTTTTATGGTAGCACTAGCAGTTACCGTTGTACGACCGTAGGCGCTATTTTAAATTTATCAAAATTTACCAGGAGCATTTTTAAATTCAATTTTTTTCGAAAGCAGAAGTGTTTTAGGAGCTAAATTTTCTAGTGCTTATAATACTTCCACAGGGGCATCCAAATATATCAAAATTGTAAAGAATCACTATCCACCCAATTTTCAAAATTTCCCAAAACTTTGTAATAGACCCTACCTTTAATGTCCCTCGTTACAACTGCAGTTTTCTTTGTAATGATGACGTGCAGGGCTAGTCAACCGGGTAAACATCCTGCTCTTTTTAAAAGTCGACAAGGTTATACTATAGCTTGCTTGAGATGTGACTGTCTCATCTATATTTATCTCTACCAAAGAGTGTCTCAACTTCACATACATGACAGAGAACCAATGCATCAGTTATTAGTCATGCAAATTCCAAATCTGGCTAGCTGTGATAATTATTAGAGAATGCCATCTTCAAAATAATTTCTTTTGGTGATTTAAAATCTGAATGTTTTTTACTTTGTGAATGACTTTCGTTTCTTCACTTTTTACAGATATGAAGAACAGACAACACAATCCATCCCCAGCGAAGAAATTCCAAGCAGCAGTAGGGGAATTAGCAGGTGAATAGTACAAGTCACCTTTGACCGCAAATTCATGGAGAACTTGGCCTACTCTGCTGATTTGCTCGCTTCAGGTAGGATTCTGTATACATGTACGAAAGGCTCTGTAAATTGAGAGGAATTTAATGAGAATGCGTTCATTACGTACATGTTTGCAAGATTGAGCTCTTTTTCGGTTATGACCTATAAAATTGGGACATATCAGCAGGTCAAGATAATGCATCTTATTTGCTCATGTGTATGACATGGGATTTTCAATATTGATTTTGTGGTATGAAAATAATGAAATGCCCTATCATTTATATCAGTTTTTATTTTGTTTTCATAATTCCTTAGGCACACCAGCATGCTCGAGTGTTTCCACAACCATATACTGATGTATGCTTCCAAGCGGTATTCCTTTGAGTAAGTATTTTTAGTATCATTTTGTATGTTTGAAGTAAGATTGTCTGTGGAAAAGTTGAAACATATCATTACAGTACGGTTACAGTTACAATATCATATTTTGAAGCAAATAGCAAAGTTAATGAGAAATTATGAATGACATCTATATAAATGCTGAAATCACTTTTGGATGCATGCAGAGTCTTGAAACAGCAGACTTTGTATCGTACTTGTGTCGGTACCTGATGTTAAGTCAAGTTGGAGTGGTTGTAGCAGGGAAATGTAACTACCTTTAATTAAGAGTCAATAATTTACAACACAAATCCAGAACTGAAGTGAATGGCTCGTATTCACAAAGGAGGTTTGTACAAACCATGGTTTGGCCAAGGTTTACATCTATGGAATGCCATTTGTAAACTGATGGAGAAGGAATGTAAACTCCATACTTGTTAACAATGTTAATTTACAATTTACGGTATGCGAGCAGCATTCCATAGATGTAAACCATCGTCAAACCATGGTTTGTACAAACCTCCTACAAACCTCCTTTGTGACTACGGGCCAATGAGTCTGAGATTTGTCTAAAGCATTTACTATTCATTCATCATGGTAGTGGTAATACCAATTGTTTGTCTTATCCATCCAGCTACCCAGCAAACCGGGCAAGGAATTTGCTTGCGGTCATCGACTACATGGCACACAAGGACAGGCCCGACCAGATTGATGAACAAGGCAATACAAAGTGAGTGGAAATTAGAAAGAAAGAAAAAAAGGTTTTCTTTTCTTTCTTGTTTTTCCTATTTTTATTTGTACATTTTTTTTTAGATGGACAAGGCAATCCAAAGTGGGTGGAGTAAAAAAAAAAAACATGATTTTTTGTTTTCCCTGTGTAGTTGGACAGGGCAATCCGAATTGGCAGTTCTTTCCCATGAAATTTATCAATTTTGGGGAAATTATTAAATATCTAATTGTCCTTCCTGGGAACGCCCCTTTTAAATCGCCAAACATATGACGTCATCTAAAGAAGTTGTCCCTGTACACGACGCACATCTAAATTATGTAGATGACGGACTGTAAGCTGATGGTTTGTCAATCATGCTGCTGATTTTGGACCCTAAATGCGGACTTGGATTCAGTGTAATAATATACTTGGTGTGTAATGCAAGGTTCTGGAGTCATCAAAATCATCATAAATTTGGCAGAGTTTTGGTAAAGTAACAATCACTTACACAGAAAGATGTATATGGGACAACACACATGGTGTCGGCCTGTCGGGGCTAGTACTACCCTGATTTCCTTATCTTTCTATGCTCATTACTCAGCCAGTATACATTTTCTTCCAAAATTGTTTGGCACATGACATTTATTTGTAATCTTGAACATTCAGTGTAAGTTTCGTTAGATTCTGTGAGAATTCATTTTCTTTTTTTACCAGAACTCAAGTTTATCTTTAAGAGATATGAATCATTTCCAATTGACAAGAATGAGTGTGCATATAATGCAACTTGTTACATTTTGCATGTTCTTTTATTTTATGATACAGATATGTTGCAGTATGGTCAAAGCGTGCCAACAACTACGTGGCCCGGAAGGAGAAGGTCCCCAAGACCTACCCCTACATGTATGTACAAGGACTCATCGGTGCGATACTGGAACGCAGAGAACAGGACCAAGGACCACTGTTCTCGAAGGCTGTTCTGCTCCCTGATGACCCTAGACACACAAGGCCCCGGCTTGCACCATTTCCTCCACCACAAGTTGATGTGATCCTAGCCAGGAGACTAGGCCGATTAGAGAAATCCATGTAATCCTCTGTAGTGAACATTTGGGATTGTCTGACTTGAGAACTGCTTTTTTTCGAGCAGAGACTAAGGGATCCAAATGGCGTCCTTCCGTCCATCCTCCGT